TTTGGGTAGAGGAGGCTAAGGGCTTGGAGAGCAAGAGTTAGGGGATAGGATTAGGGGACCTTTTGGGGAAATAGACCCTCTGAGTAAGGTCCCTGTTTAAGAGAGCCAGAAGAGGGTTCAGAAAGGTTCCCTTTTCAGAGCCCCCCATATCCTACCTAGGAAGAGTAGTGAGCAAGGCCTCTGGGTAAACATGTTCAACAAACACCTTCACACTCCAGGACGCCCTGTCCTAGATCCTGAAGGCCCTCAACCCACTCCCTACCAGGCAAACCCTAAAACACCCCAATCCCCAAGCCCTAAGCCCCAAGCCTTAAACCCCAAACCCTAAATCCCTAAACGACAAACCCCAAACGACAAACTCTAAACCCTAAACCCTAAACCCTAAACCCTAAACCCTAAACCCCCCCCCCCAGCCCAAAACGCCTCCGACGCGAGTTGGAACGCCTCCGCGGTGACGGCGAACGCCGGCGCGGCGGTGTGCGGGAGCGTCCCCGGCCCCTGGAGAGGTTTAGGGCTTAGGGTTTAGGGTTTAGGGTTTAGGGTTTAGGGGTTAGGGTTTAGGGTGTAGGGTTTAGGGTTTAGGGTTGAGAGGTTTAGGGTTGGGAGGTTTCGGGTTCCGGGTTCAGGCTTAAGTTGGCGGAGTTCGGGGACCGAGGAATTTTAAGGTTCTGGCGTAGGGTTTAGTTTAGTTCAGGGTTTAGGGTTTAGGGTTTAGGGTTTAGGGTTTAGGGTTTAGGGTTTAGGGTTTAGGGTTTAGGGTTTAGGGTTTAGGGTTTAGGGTTTAGGGTTTTAGGGTTTAGGGTTTAGGGCTTAGGGCATAGGGCTTGGGGTTTAGGGTTTCGGGTTTCGGGTTTAGTAAGGGATTAGGGTTTAGGGTTTAGGGTCTAGGGTTTAGGATTTAGGGTTTAGGGTTTAGCAGTTGGGGTTGGGGTTTGGGGGCTTTGTGGGCTTTGGTTTTCGAGGTTTTGAGCCTGAGGATCGTATCGTCCAGGCCGTCCGGGTCTCGGCATTAGGACAATTTTGACGCATGACAACCCAAAACGTTCGTGGGGGCAGAGGATTGTTTCCCTGAGCAGCAGGTAAGAACACTGTAAAGGGTTTGGTTCAGGGTTTAGGGCCTTGGTGTGTAGCGTCTTGGGGTTTGGGCTTTGGGGGGTTTAGGGGTTTAGCCCTTTGCCCCACGCCCGAGGGTCCTGGAGTCTGAACGTGCTCGGCTATCTGAGCGACCACGACCGTCCCCACGGAGTTTCTCCTGCACGGTCTCGGGTACAGGGTTTGGGAAAGAGGGTTGTGGGGTTTCGGGTCTAGGGTTTTGGGTTTAGGGTGACAGGTTTAGGAGGGTGCAGGGTTTCGTGGGGCTTGTACGGTTTAGGGTACTTTATGGGGATGTGAAGGGGCCTGGGAAGGAACATTCCTTACTTCATGAGGGGACCTAAGCCCGATGTGGGACTAAGGTCAGCATAAGATCACACCTGAGAGCAGGGTTCTGTGGCTCTTGAACGAAGCTTGTTTCGGGTTTAGGGTTGCATTTCGATTTCGATCTCAAATCGCGCTCCTGCTTGAGTTTGCACTGAAACAAGCCGCTGAAGAGAGATGATTTGAAGACACCGAGTTCAAGATTGTTCAGTGACGAAGCTTCGAAGGATCTAAAATTAGATTCAAGTGATGGATGTATTCTTTGAGGCTGAACTGACGGACGATGCAACTATGGATGATCCACTGTCGTGTCTCTATACTTTCTGTACATCAAAGTACCTGGTATCATTTTGAACCTAAAACTTCCTCTCTTCTCTACATTCACACGAACCTCTTCGTGCTGCAAATTCGCCATAGCATGTATGCAACCAAGCTATCAGCTACAGTGGGCCTATTCGCCTCTGTGCAATCTGCTTCTTTGCGGCAGGTTTCCAGGCTAGGCAGGCTGCTCAGAGCACTACTTCGGCTTGGAAGGTGGGCTAAGGGGTCGGATGGGGAAGCAAGCAAGCACCGGGTGGGACTAGGCTTACAGGCGCCTAGGGAAACCTTCCAGGGTAGATAGGCCCCGCGGAAAGGCGAGAAAGAGCTTCTCCTAACCTCCTTCATCTACTCATCCCAAAACCTTCTTGTCCACAGGTTACCGAAGCGCCCTGTATTTCCTATGACAAATGATCGGATTAGGGTTTAGGGTTTAGGGTTTAGGGTTGAGGGGTTAGAGGTTTAGGGTTTAGGGTTTCAAAATTATTGTAGCTAAGTTTCTCTAAGGGTAAATGAAGGCCATGGTAGGAGCACATTCAAGGAATCCTTCGGAGGCAGAACCTTCAGGGGTGCTAGCTTTTAACAGTCTGAAGAACGCTTAAAAACCCCTAAACCCTAAACCCTAAACCCTAAACCCTAAACCCTAAACCCTGAACCCTAAACCCTAAACCCTAAACCCTAAACCCTACACAACCCCAAACCCTCAACCCCGAAGCCCTAAACTTGAGACACGAGCCACCTGAATCATCTCGTTGACCAAGCGTTCGGCGGCCGCGCGACCTTTCTCCGAGGTCTTCGAACCTGCAGCGCTCTTCGGCATAGACTCTGGACACAGGAGTAACCTAGGAATAACAAGGGAACCCTTTTTTGGTTTCTAAGGGAACCCCAGCCCTAAAACAAGGAAATAAGGGCCTACACCGGGTCCTAGGACTGAAGGCTCAGGGGCCTTCGCATTCAGCATTCAGGGCTGCGGGATGGGGGTGTAGGGTTCAAACTTAGGGTATGACTGCTTGCGCCTTGCTTTGCCTTACTTTGCGTTGCCGTGCCCTCAGCCCTGAATCCTAAACCCTAAACCCTAAACCCTAAACCCTAAACCCTAAACCCTAAACCTGAACCCTTCCACCAAAACTTTCTGCCCCCCTAGACCAGAAGCATGCCACTTAGGCTCGTGCGGCTTGGGGATGAAGGCCTAAGGCCCGTAAAACCTCCCCGAAACAACTAACCCCTGAATCTCCAAACGTTCGCCTCCTTCAGTTTCGGGTTCAGGTTTTGGGGTCAACGGGCCTTAGCTTTGGAATCTTGAGCAAGGCTTGGGGAGCCTAAACCCTAAACCCTAAACTCTAAACCCTAAGCCCTAAACCCTAAACCCTAAGCCGTATACACCCTCAACGCTCGCCTGAGTCCACGGAGAAGATCAGAAGACGCTCCTGGCTTGCTGGACGATGAGATTCCCTAAGCCCTAAGCCCTAAACCCTAAACCCTAGGGTTTAGGGTTTAGGGTAACCTACATAGGAGACCCCTTACTCTTAAAACAGGCGCGGCGATGGCTGCTTATCGACCTCGACCAAACAATACAGTCCCTAAACCCCAAAGTTAAACCCTGAACCCTGAACCCTGAACCCTGAACCCTGAACCCTGAACCCTAAACCCTAACCCTGAACCCTGAACCCTGAACCCTGAACCCTAAACCCTAAATCCTAAACCCTAGACCCTGAAACTCTAAACCCCAAGACCTAGACCCTAAAACCCTAAACCCCTAGACCCTGAACCCTCTACCCTAAACCCTAAACCCTAAACCCTAAACCCGAGACCCTAAACCCTAAACCCTAAACCCTAAACCCTAAACCCTAAACCCTACAGCTCCGAGGTCGATCTAAGGCCGAGTGAAGGCTTTGAGCGAGCAGTTGTGCTCCAAGCTGGTTGAGGTTTAGGGTTCAGGGTTCAGGGTTTAGGGTTTAGGGCTTAGGGTTTAGGGTCTAGGGCTCAGGGTTCAGGGTTCAGGGTTCAGGGTTCAGGGTTCAGGGTTCAGGGTTCAGGGTTCAGGGTTTAGGGTTTAGGGCATTCTTTCTGAGTCGCTTGCATCCTGCCGGTGCCATGGGAAAGGCCCTAAACCCTAATCCCCGAACCCTAAACCCTAGTGCTGGGAGAGGTCGATGCCGGCAGCCCAAGGCAGTCTGTATGGCGTAGTCCCAATGGGCCGGGGCAGAAGCACAGTGCGGTTCAGGAGTGGCGCGGGTAAGGTAGGACATGTAAACCCTAAGCCCTAAATCCTAAACCCTAAACCCTAAATCCTAAACCCCAGAACCTAAACCCTGAACCCTAAACCCTAAACCGCTGGAGCAAGTAGAAGGAGACACGACAGGTCTGGCCCGCTTCGGGGGAGCAACGCGGAGAAAACGGCGTTAGGTTCAGCATCCGGCGCATCGCGTTGAGGGTTTACGGTTTAAGGTCCAGGGTCTTCGGTTTTAGGGCAGACAGTGCTTTTACAGCTTATAGCATTGACGCTGAACCCTAGCCTAAAACCAAAAGGGTTTAGGGCTTGTACGGCTTACAGGGTCTGTGGAGTCTTTGTACCCGAAAACCTAAACCCAGAGTTCCGAAACTTTCCACCACATCCAAAAGGCCAACACACTTCGAAGCCCCAACCCTGCCAAAACCTTAGACCCCGTTCTTTCTCGGGTCTAAGGTTTACGTGGGGTTTAGGGTTTAGGGTTTAGGGTCTAGGGTTTAGGGTTTAGGGTTAGGGTTTAGAGTTTAAGGTCAAGAAACTTAGAGCTTCAACAGCCCTGAACAAACCTGGCACTGAGCCCATGATCCTATGGCTCCCCAAAGTCCAGTGGCCTCTCCCCGCTTGTCCAGTGCCATAAACCTCGGATTTCGGGTTTACGGTTTAAGGTTTAGGGCTTGGGGGTTTAGGGTTTAGAGTTTAAGGTTTAGGGTTTGGGTGTTTGGGGTTTTAGGGTTTAAGGTTTAGGGCTTGGGGTTTTAGGGGTTGCTGCAAGAGAGCGCTCAAACAGCTTTCTAGTGACCAGACCCAAGAGTAGGTCAGATTCATACTGGATTTGGCGGTTTCGGGCTTAGGACTAGGTACGTGTAGCCGGATGAGTTACGACGCAACTTGGATAGCAAACCCTGTAGTCAAACTGAGACGGCTGCCTGCCTTTTGGCTTCGGGCATGGACTCGGCTGACACTGATGCAACATGATTTTGAATTGCACATGCTGCATACCTGAATCGCTGCCGTCACTGGCAGCATAGGTGGTTCCTCATCGGCGTCGTCCACGGACTTGAATATGTTCATCGTGCCGAAGACGACCGAAGTCTTTGCGGGCAAACTCGTCGAACCTTCTGCCTGAGAGACAAACTTTGACTCGCACATGTTGCTTGCCAGCCTGCCTCAAGCACAGCAAGCGCCGATGATCCAAAGACCAGTAGTAGACATTGCCATCGACACAAGCTTTTGCGACATTCAGAACAAAGTTGTGATGCTCCAGCTCATTGATTCTACCGCGCTTCAGCTGCGAAGTAGTCTCTTCCAATGTGCGGCCATCCCTGAAGCGACTGCTGCACCATTGCTGCAGGTTTCCAACAGCCTCGATGGGAACTGTTTGGACATCGCCTGTCTCATCGATCTCCTCCTTGACTTCTACAGCTTCAGCACGTCCTCTTAGGAGGCAGGAGCGGAAGTGGTCCCAAAGTGGCTCAGAGCCGTCGTAGTCCTCACATTCTGCCCCTGGCGGGAGCCGGAACCCCACAATCTCCAGATCCAAGCTGCCCCAGTTCTTGCGCAACTTGCCATGCACGTCCGGCGACCTCGTCCGGGACCGCGGCCTCTGCAAAGGCTCGCCGCAGTGCATGCAGTAGCGGGCGTGCTCGGGCATTCCCGAGTGGGAGCACGCCTCCTCGAAGGTGTCCATCCCGGAGCCAGCCACACCAGGGGAACGAGTGTCGTCACACGGATCTTCACACGGCTGCTGCTCTTCCGGCAAAGGCGTTTGGAGCTCGAAAGGGCCTGGCGCTTCCCAGCGTCCAAAAGCTGCCACAGGCGTCTGGGGCACGCGAAGGCCTGGGGTTCCCAAAGATGCGCTCAGAAATGTGCTAGCTGGGGTTGCTGGCGGCGTCTGGGGTACGTGCAGGCCTGGGGTTCTCAGAAACATGCTGCTTGGAGTTCCAGGCGTCTCGGGCATGCGAATGCCTGGGGTTAAGCCTGGGGTTCCCCGGACTCCAAAAGCTGCCACAGGCGTCTGGGGTATACGAAGGCCTGGCGCTTCCCAGCATCCAAAAGCTGCCACAGGCGTCTGGGGCACGCGAAGGCCTGGGGTTCCCAAAGATGCGCTCGAACCCGTCTGGGGCATGCGCCTTGGATTCGGCCTGGGATTCCCAAAGACGCGCTCGAAAACGTTCTGGCTGGAGAAGGCGACTGGGGTATGCGAAGGTCTGGGGTTCCCAAAAAATTTCTGGATCAGAGGCAGTCTGCGGAATGGGAGGGCTGTTCCAGGATTCTTCTTGGACGCCAGAGCCAATGTCAAAGGGGGTTAGGGTAATTGACCCGAAACCCTAAACCCTAAACCATTACGAAGAGTCGTGCCAACCCTCTGGTGCTTTCTCAAGTACTTCTGGGATGGTGCAAACAGCCCAGACCTGCCCTAACCCTAAATACGACCCTGAGCGACCCTAAACCCCAGGCCCATGTGACTTCCCATAAGCACGCGGGCTGTATGCGCAGTGAATAGTAGAGTCTGACCCCAACTCAGGGTAAGCGCTCTGTTGTTTTCGCCTAGCAGCGGCCTGTTCTACGACGAGCCCTGGTCTCCTGGCAGCTTGCCCCACTCTAGGTTGACCCTTCACTGTCTGTGAGACATGTTCCTGATTCATTATCCTCTTAAAACCCACTGACAGAAAGCTTCAAAAAAACAGCACAAGGGCCCACCCAGTAGACCTTGAAGCCTACAACCATCAACTCAAAACCTTGAAGCCCATACAAGGTCCCAGGGTAAGCTGTCAAAGGGTTTAGGGTTTAGGGCTGAGGGTGATTCTGTGATGTGCTCAGGCTCGGGCTTGAGATTCATAGGTTTTTTTTTTTTTTGGGGGGGGGGGGCTTACTTGACTTCACACACTCCTCAATGTCCTCAACTTCCTCAGACTAGGCCAGGAGGCTTAACCCTAATCCCAAAACCCTACATGATCAGGGTTGAGGCTTTCGAAGGGTGAGGAGCCCAATACAGACAGACAGGACATGAAAGCCCCTGAACCCTAAGCCCCAAAAGCAGCCAATCAAGAACCCTAAGCCCTAAGCTCTAAACCCTAAATCAGACAGAGCCAGGAGGCATGTATGTTCCCGTCTCCAGCTCCATGCGGCGCAGCTCGCTACCCCGGTTGCCGGTTACCCAGCCTCAGAAAAGTGGAGCAGGTTGGGATGTTCCCCCTTATACTAACAGTCCTTCATAGGGATGATAGTACCCCCTACGACAATCCCTATTACGGACTGTGAGTACAAGGGGGAACATCCCAAGGAGCAGGGTTTAAGTGGGGTTAGGGTTGCCAAGGCTTGGGGTTTATGGTCAGGGCCGAAGAGGGTTGCGGTCGGTGCTTCCTGAACAAAAACTAAGGGCCTCGGGGTTAAGGTCCATTGGGGGGTGTTCGAACATAGGCCCCGGACCCCAAGTAGTAAGATCCCGTTATAAAAAAGGATCCGAACAAGGTACCCTTTATTTCGGAAATGTTCAGTTGTTCTTTCTTGCGCTTCTATGGCTATGGGTCAGCTGTTCTGATGATACCTGGCAGCTTCAGAATTGAGGGCCTGGTTTCTCGGCAAGGGCAATCGGATAATGTTTCAACTGCAGGCTTGAAGAATGCCACCACCCCCCCCCCCCCCCCCCCCCCGCCCCGAGACAGAAAAAAAGCAAGCTTAGGCAAAACAGCACGAACACCACCTCCCAGCCCAAAAGCAAGCGACGCTGGATCTCGAATCCGTAAAACCAAGCGGTCCTAAACCCTGAGCCTTACCTGGGACTCTCTTCACCTACAGTTTTATGGGTCATACCCACGAATTAAGGGGTAGTTCTTACTAAACAGTAGGTAAATAGAGTCCCCGGTGATATCACAGATCATTAATCCCAAAACCTAAGTACCAGCCGCTGACCAAGCCCGAACACAAAATTATGGACCTTGAGTTGAGCCATCAACCTCCAAATCTGCAAAAAAACCTGCCTCCCGAACAGCCCACGGGAATGCGATATAACCTTTCAGAATGGGAGAGAAAGATTCAAACAATCGGAAGCTCAGTAATACGTAAACAAGTCAGCAGTCAGGCAAATGCCCAACTCCCACTGCTGGGGACGTCGCCTTTACAGTTCTCCGGGATGAAGACCTCCCAAGGTTTAAAGGGGTTTAAAGGGGTTTAAAGGGGTTTAAAGGGGTTTAAAGGGGTTTAGGGTTTAGGGTTTAGGGTTTCTGGCTTGAGGTTTAGGGTTTGGGGTGGAAGGCTTAGGGTTTGGGGTTTGGGGTTTGGGGTGAGGGGCTTAGTTGTTTAGGGCTTGGGGTGTAAGGTTTAAGGTTTGGGGTGTAGGGTCCAGGTGGCAACTCAGGATTGTGAGGGCTTCCGCTTGACAGGGATTCTACTTAAAGGGCAAGACCCCACGAAGGGCTCAGGGTTCGGGGTTGCGTAGAGGGTTCAGTTCAGGGTTTGCAGAGTTTGTAAGGGGTCCGAAGACCTAAAGCCCGCTTTGCACGAGCCACAACCAGCCTCCGTGACGTCGTCACGCTCCGCGATGTTGTTGACCGTGACCTGAAAGGGTCTTTTTGGATTTGAGCCTCTAGGGCCTGGGGTTGAGGAACTGAACCCGAAACCTCGAAGCCTGGGTGTGTAGGATCAAGGAAAAGGGCTCTAGAGTTCGGGGGGGGGGGGGGGGCGAGGGCGGGGGGGGGGGCGAGGGCGGGGGGGGGGGCGAGGGCGGGGGGGGGGGGGGGCGGGGGGGGGGGGGGGGAGGCGCCAAAGAGCCAGGTAACGCAAAGACACCAAAGGCCAAGTCCAAGCCACTGGCACCCTAAGCCCGTATAATAAACCCAAAGCCTTAAGACCCCAAACTAACGTCCAAAACAGAAAACAGTAAGCCTTTACCCAAACACCATGATATAAAAACACAAAACTTATCGAAGTGCGGTTGATGAATGTCTGCGTGGCAAAGAATCTGGCGACAGCCAGACGATGCCAGACGAGGCCAATCAACTTGGTGCGCCGTTTCTGTTGAATTAGCCAAGCATAGCATGGCCTGAAGAGACGTCATGGACGCCATTGACTAAACCCTAAACCCTGAACCCTGAACCCTAAACCCTAAATGGAAACCCTAACCCCTAACCGTCAACCCTACACCCTAAACCCTAAACTCCTACAGCTCACGAAGCTCTTTGCCTGCAAAGCGCAACCTTAGACCCTAAACCGCAAACCCTAAACCCCAAACTCCCCACATGAAAGCGACAGCGGGCCTGACCCCGACGCTGTTGGAGGAGCCAGTCAAGGAACTCCTGAGGAGTTCGGGGCCCTTGGGTTTGTAGGCTTTAGGGTTGAAGTCTTAGGTCTGGGTTTAAGAGTTGAGGTTTAGGGTTTAAGGGTTTGGGTTTGGAGTTTAAGGTTTAGGGTTTAGGGTGTAGGGTGTAGGGTTTAGAGTTTAGGCTTTATACGGGGTTTAGGGTTTAGGGTTTTGGGGGTAACTCTGGAGGCCCCCCCAAATCCTAAACCCGCAAAATCCGAAAGCGGCTCCTCGACCTGCAAACCCCACTCTAAACCTCCTGAAAGTCTGGTATGGCGGTTTCCAAAATGGGGTTTAGGGTTTGGGCGTACCCTCTCTTTGCGGGCTCCGGAATACGACATGTACTATTTTTGTTTGAGGGGGTGGGGTTGCTGTTAGGGTGGGGGGCACCCTAAACCCTAAACCCTAAACCCTAAACCCTAAACCCTTGCGTTCCCTAGGATGTTTAGGGAGTAGTACAGGGTGCCCAGGATCTAGGGATGAGCCCAGCCTGGGGGGTAGGGCCTGGGGATAAGCTTCACCGAGTCTACCTCAACTTCCCTGTTTAGGGTATAGGGGTTGGGGCGTTAGGGTTCAGGGTTTTATAAGGATTTAGGGTTTTAGGGTTCATCTGACACGGCTACGGGCACCTCACGCAGGCGCCTCTGCCAGTCTCAAAGGCCCTGCTGAGACGCGCGGTGGCGCCCAACGTCTGCGAACAATCTCCTGACACTTGGCCTTCCTCTGCGACTCATCGCGCAGCTTCATCCGATACCTCTGCTCTCGCCAGTCTTCCCCTTCAGCGCAAGTACCTCGCTGTGAGCATCCTTCCAAAAATGATGTCTGCCGAGTAATACAAACCCCCTATAACCCCTCTACAAACCCTCTAAAAACCATCTATAAACCCTCTGTTTCCTACAATCCCTCGATAAAGCCACTAAAAGAAACAGCTAGACCCTCTAAACACTCTAAACCTTCTAAACCCTCTCAACCCTAGACATCAGCAAGGAGGGGCCCCCTTACCATACTAACTGTAGTTAAGGGACCAAAGGCCCCCTTTCTATACTAGCTGTAGCTAAGGGACCTAAAACCTAATTTAGGATCCTTATAACCCAATTTCGGGTCCTTATAACTCTACTTATAACTAGGGGATCCTTATAACCCAATTTCGGGTCCTTTTAACTCTACTTATAACTAGGGGGCCCTGTAGAAATCAGCAAGGCCCTGAACACTTCACCCTAAACGTCCATGGCCGCCCTTTGCACCTCGAACTTTAGGCCTCGGCCGAGGCCGACAAGTCCCCCAAAGGCAAAGGCTCCCGAGGGGTTAGGGGGTTCTTTTAGCTTAGGGTTTGGGGTTTGGGGTTTGGGGTTTGGGGTTTGGGGTTGGGGGTTTTGGGGTTTGGGGTTTGGGGTTTGGGGTTTAGGGTTTAGGGTTTAGGGTTAGGGCGTTTGGGGGTGAGGGTTTAGCGTTCATTGTGCTGGGGGCTTTATAGGGGAACCGACCACCTACGAGAAATGAATACCGGCACCACAGGGGTCCCCAAACCCTAGACCCTAAAGCGCCAGACCCTCGACCCGAAACAGCCTGGACCCTACCCAGGACTCTCTTTACCTACAGTCTTATGGGTTCTGCCTACTAGTTAAGTGGCAGTCCCAGGCAATCCCTCAGCACCTATCTCCCACGGCCCGGAGGAACTCTCCTTCGCACGGCGACGCTCCGCCATCGTGCCGGCAAGGAAGCAGACGTGGCCGACGTACCTCTTGAAGTTGGGCGTCCGAGGTTTCGGGCTCACCCTAAACCCTAAACCCCTAAACCCCTAAACCCCTAAACCCCTAAACCCCTAAACCCCTAAACCCTAAACCCTAAACCCTAAACCCCTGGTCACTACGGGTTCAGTCTAGCTTCAGGGGTTCAGGGTTTAGGGCTTAGCGTTCTGGGGTGAGGAGCCCGTGTCTTCTTAGTTCCCAGCGACCTGTGCACTTTGAGCGGCCAGCATTGTAAAGCGCACAAACCCTAAACCCTAAACCCTAAACCCCAAACCCCAAACCCTAAACCCCTAAACCCTCAACATCAGGCCTTTCATGAGCTCTAAAGCCACAAAGCAGGCAACGCAACGTTGCAGTGATGGATGCCAGCTTGCGTCAAGGGCTTCAGGGTTGAGGGCCTAGGGCAAGTTTAGAGTTAAGGCTCCGTGAGCAGAGGAACAGTGCTATCAGCAGAAGCAGCATGAGGTCGATCCAAACAGCTCGCGGACAACGAACACAGCAAACCAACATACCAAAACAACTCGATCAACAAAAAAGACAAAGCTGTCACCCCTAACTCCATCATCTACGCCTCTGGAGACAATACCCCTCCCACAAGGCCAGCCAAACCAAGAAACCAAAACTAAAACCCCAAGCCCATAAAACCTCAAACAGCTGAACCCTGAACCCTATGTGAGCCCTAAAAGCGAAATCCCTAAATCCCTAAATCCCTAAATCAAACCCTGAACCTAAACCCTAACCCTCTAACCCCAAGAACCTCAAACCTTCGCAAGAGGTGCTGGATGATGCAGCCAGACGCAAGGGCCAACCTCGGCGAGCAGGGCAGTCCAGGGTGTGGGGGGGGGTTTAGGGGGGGTTTAGGGTCTAGGGTTTAGGGTTTAGGGTTTAGGGTTTCGGTTTAATTAGGGTTTAGGGTTTAGGGTTTATTTAGGGTTTGGGGCAGGGCTGGGGGTTTGGGGTTTAGGGTTGTGGCTCAGGGTTTGGGGTTTAGGGTTGTGGCTCAGGGTTTAGGGTTCAGGGGAGGAATTGAAGGCCCGGCAGAAGACTTTAATTCTGCGGGCTTTGGGCTGTACTATGAAACCCGAAACCCGAAACCCTAAACCCTAAACCCTAAACCCTAAACCCTAAACCCGAAGCCTTCAGGGTTGAGGGTATAGGGTGGCACTGAACCTGAACCCAAAACCTGGTCTCTGTACGCAGGGCTGGTTTTGGAAAGAGTTTTGCATTGCTATGGGCTCTGTATGAATATACTACTGCTTATACTACTGTTAGTGGTGAGTGTCTAGGGTTTACATGAGTCTGCATGAGTGGTGAGTGTATATAGGGTTCCTTATAAAGATTGGTGAGTGTGCATCTTCGGTGTTCTTTGGGGATACTAAGATTATCAACCCGAAGTGGGCTTGGGCAGATAGGGGCGGGGTTCTGGTCATCAGCTCGCTGTGGCTACATATAGGACCTCACAAGGGGTCCCTGATAGAAAGAACTACCCCATGAAGGTTTGGCTTCAGATGCTGGGAAGAGGATGGGCTGAATAAAATCGGATCTAGGCTTTTGATGCGTGTTTGCCCTTGACCCCGAAACCCTTAACCCAACACTAAACCCTAAACCCAACACTAAACCCTAAACCCAGAACCTTAGACGACTATTTGCTTCGGAACCCCCAAAACACACAAAGTATTCTAGGGTAACACAGGGATGTTCATGCTTCATTTTTGGAGGGTTCGATGGGGTGCTTAAGCAATAGAAGTAGACTTGGATAACCCTGTACAGGCACGTATGGGATGTGAATTCCTTAAGGCCAAGCCAGAGGCTTCCCCGCCGTCGCCAGCAAGAAGCTGTTCTTGCTGCCTAAACCCTAAACCCTAAACCCTAAACGTTAAACCCCAAACCCTAAACCCTAAACCCTAAACCCTAAACCCTAAACCCTAAACCCTGAACCCTGAACCCTGAACCCTAAACCCTAAGCCTCCTGATCAGAAGTCTAGTTCGTGGCCGAGGCGCTTTTTCCTGGTGCTGCCCTGCTTTCCCAGGGCATAGCTGAGCTCGTCGTCCTCCAGCGCAACAAGGGTTTTGGGGTCAGGGTGTAGGGTGAGATATGTGGAAAACAACTCATCAACGTGGTTTTTTCGGAGCTTTTCGAGTTTAGCCCTAAATGCAACATCCCTTCAACCCCTAAACCCCAAACAGAAACTAGACGTGAGATGGTAGGAACATACCCGGTTGCTTGATCTGGCTGCAAAAAGTCTGCTGTCTCCACGGAAATAGGCTCTCTCTCTCTCTCTCTCTCGAACTCTCCTTACTGTGTTTTCCTCAGTTACACCCGAACCCTATGAAGCGCTGAGGCTTCGGACTCAGGGCAGAGTCTGAGTGCTTGAAGCTTTAGGGTTTTGAGCTACAACTCTAAACCCACAACCCGAAACCCTCAATGCAGCCTAAACAACTCTAAGCCTAAAACATAAACCCAAACCCCAAATGCTAAAACCCCACATCCTTTGATTCACCCTAAACCCCACACCCTGAACGTGTAGACTTCCCTGAGCTTTGAAAAACACTGAACCCTTTAAACGCTCAAAGCCCTAAACCCTAAACCCTAAACCCTAAACCCTAAACCCTAAACCCTAAACCCTAAACCCTAAACCCAAAACACGAACTCGATCCTTACCCCGTAAACCCCCTCAAGACCATCCTTTGCCTCAACGATCATCCTAAAACCCTCAATCCGAACACCCAAACCCTACAAACTCTTAACCCTGGGCGAATCCCTAAACCCTAAACCCTAAACCCTAAACCCTAGGCGAATTGAAAACCTACTTGAAACCAAACACTAAACTCCAAACTCTAAACCCCGCCAAACCGATAAACCCTGAGCCTTAAACCCCCTTTTCTCGCCTTGAAGATCAGCCAAACATCCCTAAACCCTAGAACCCTTAACCCCTAGACCCTGTGAACCCTAAACCCCAAAGCCTGTAAGCCCCAAACCCAAACCCGAAACTCCAACCCTGTAAACCCTAAACGCCTAAGCCCCCCTTCAAAACGCCTTGAAACTCTGAAGCCGAATCCTCAAACCCTAAACCCTAAACCCCAAAACCCTAAACCCTGAACCCTAAACCCCAAACCCTAAACCCTGAACCCCCTTCCAACGCCTTGAAGATCATCCGGTCGGTGGAGAAGCCCTTCGAGTCGCTGAACTTCTCGCGGATGCCGCGCGTGTACCTGGGGAAGCGAGTTGTTGGGGTTTAGGGTTTAGGGTTTAGGGTTTAGGGTTTAAGGTTTAGGGGTTTAGGGTTTAGGGTTTAGGGTTTAGGGTTTGGGGTTTGGGGTTTGGGGGTCTGGGGTTTAGGGTTTAGGGTTTAGGGTTAAAGTTTAGGGTTTAGGCCTCAGGGTTTGGAGAGTTCAGAAGGGTTTGGGGTTTAAGCGTCTCGGGTTTGGGCTTTGCCACTTCAGGGGCTTTAGACTTTGGGTTTAGGGGGGACTTTAGAGGGTTCAGGGCTTCAAGAATCATGGTCTAAGTGTGGAGGCTTCTTGGAGTTTCCGGTTAAGTCCTTCGATACGTTCGTACCGAATGAATGGTAGAACCGTGCCGCCGTCGTCACTTGACAGTGGCCGAAGCTCACAATGCTTCGCCAAGTCTCCAACAAGAGTCTCATGGTGGCCGATGATCGTCCCAAAGACGGTGGCATCTTGAGGAGGAACTGCACCAAGAAAGATCTCTTGCAGGAATGCTGCCTGTGCAGCTTGGGCTTGTGCCGCTGTACTGCCTCGACCCATGTGGCTGAAGTCGGAGGTACCCACGAAAAGCTAGCCGATCAGTCCCATGAAGACGCTCGCCGGTCCAACACCCCACAGTTTGACCAAAATGCTGCCAACCTACACGCATGCTTTCCGGGGACGTCCTCCTTCAATAGGTTTGCGGTTTGGGGCTTAGGGCAGAGGCTTGGACCACGACTTGCCCAAAAAAACGCTAGATCTCTCAGACCCCCGCTGAACCGCCCTCAACCCCAAGGCGAGGCTTAGGGTTTTAAGTGCAGCTGTGCTCTTATGTTTTGGGAAGCTCTGGGTGGGATGGGTACTTCTCCAACGCATGATGAAACAGCTCGACTAGTGAAAAGCTAGTACAAGCTAGTACATGAGCTGCTGAACCCGAAACCCTCAACCCTCAACCGTAAACCTACACCTAACCCTAACCCCCGAAACCACCAAACGCGGCCAGGTGGCTGTCCGGGCGCCTTCTCCTCCACGGAGCTCATGACCTTCAACTCCTGAGGGGCTCGGAGTGGAGGGTTCAGGGTTTAGGGTTTGGTTTGGGGTTTAGGGTTTAGGGTTTAGGGTTTGGGGTTTGGGGTTTGGGGTTTGGGGTTTGGGGTTTGGGGCTTGGGGCTTGGGGTTTGGGGTTTGGGGTTTGGGGTTTAGGGCTTAGGGTTTAGGGAACCAATTCTGTACCGGCCTCGGCTTTTGTAAAAGGACCCCGAACCCTTAAGCCCCAACCCTCAAGAAAATGAGCAGCGGGGCAGCGGGGCATCTTAGCCCTACACCATACCCTAAAGCCTAAGCTACCGTGAGCCCGCAACAACCCTAAACCCTAAACCTAAACTGCCCTAAACACTGACACCTAAACCCCAGACCCTGAAGTCAAAGAAGCCCTAGGGCACTTCAGTCTCAAGGACTTGATAGGGCCTAGGACCAGCATTCAAGCATCTGCAGGGATGGTTTAAATGTATGTGCATATTCTATAGGTTTAGTCTTCGGCTTTGAGGTATAGCTCGACTTGACTACCCACGAGTTTGGGGGGGCTGTCCTTCAGGAGAATGCTACCCAAACTGGCCTTCTCTTACTTCCCCCATACCCAAGTCATCCCAACTCTAATCCCGAAGGTTGCCCGTAGAGGGCTTAGGGCTTAGCTTGAAAAGGGTTCCCTGCAAATGCTCCGCATGAGGCTCCCAGTATTTGTTCCCCAAGGGGTTCTCTGAACGGATCCCTAAACCAAGAGCACAACTTAAGCCACGGCCTACAGTAGAATGGCTCCACGGGGTGTTCGAACCCAGGGTTCGGAACTTGGAGTTCCGAACCCTGGGTTCAAACACCCGAACTTAGAGTTCAAACCCAGGGTTCGGAACTCTATGTTCGCCGAACCCTGGGTTCAAACTCTTATTTGAACCCCAGGAACTCAGGCTTCAACTCTTGAACCCAGGGTTCAGGGTTCAGGGTTTAGGGTTTAGGGTTTAGGGTTTAGGGTTCAACCCAAGTTCGAGCTTTCGGACCGAGAGTTCGAACTGGGGTTTCGAACTCTTGAACCTGGGGTTCAACCAGGGTTTGAACTTAGAGTTCCCGAACCTAGGGTTCGAACATAGAGTTCCGAACCCTGGGTTTAAACCTCTACGGTTGTTGAACCCAGGGTTCGGAACTCTATGTTCCAAACCCCCCAAACCCTAAAACCCTAAACCCAAAAGCCTAACCCTAAGCCCCGAACACTAAACCATCAACCCTAAACCCCAAACGCTCAACCCTAAACCCCAAACGCTCAACCCTAAACCCCAAACCCCTAAACCCTGAAGCCATGACCCTAAACCCTAAACCCTAAACCCTAAACCCTAAACCCTAAACCCTAAACCCTAAACCCTAAACCCTAAACCCTAAACCTTCAGGGGCCCCGGCCGCCCCGCGGCGTCCGCGCTCAGGGCCGAGGATGGCGAGCTGCTCTCCTAGGAGGGGCATTTTGGGGCTTTGGTTAAGGGTGAAGGGTTTGGAGTTTAGGGTTTAGGGTTTAGGGTTTAGGGTTTAGGGTTTAGGGTTTAGGGTTTAGGGTTTAGGGTTAAGGCTGACCTTCAACTCCTGAGGCACTGAGAGTATAGAGTTTCGGGTTTAGGGTTTAGGGTTTAGGAATTCCAGGAGGTTTCGGAAGTTTAGGAGGTTTAGGCAGGAGGTTTGGGGTTTAGAGGGATTTAAGGTGTAGCGCTTTGGGGTTAAGGGTTCAGGGCGTTAGTCTGGAAGAACTTCTTAAGTAGTCTAGACGTTAGGGATTTAATAACCCTAGTGACTGGGGTGTCCAGCAAACCGAGAATCGGTTTAGGGTTTAGGGGTTAGGGTTTGGGGTTTGGGGTTTAGGGTTTTGGAGCTTTATTTGATGGTTTTTAAGCCTTGAAGGGTTCAGGTAAGGGTTCCTAAACTCCCCTTAAGAACCCTTTAAAGAAATGATGATATTCAATATTCCCTTGGGTTTTGTGCGAATAGAAGTAAAAAAATAGTTCCTACGGAGACTATAGGTTCTGGGATTAGGCTGTCAGGGTCTGGGGTTCCGAGGGCTTTCTTTGCGGCTGAAGGGCTTCCAGGGTAGTTGAGGGGCGTAAGGGTAGTGTTGGGCTTTCAGAGCTCCATGGCTCTAGGTGGAGTAGACCCTGGAAAAAAAGTATATACTTTTTAGGTAATAAGTAGAAATAATAGAAACCCAGAACCAAAAAAAGTATTAAAGTACAGTACTCCAAAACCCTGTTAAGGGTTTAGGCATGCCAAAGGCAACAGGAAGCCACTTCAGGTTCATGACCCGACCTTTGCCTTTCGGGTTGGGAGGGTTTAGGCGGCTTTAAGGGGTTGTAGGGGTTTGAGGGGTTGCGGGTTTAGGATTTTAGGGTTTGGGGTTTTAGGGTTTTAGGGTTGCGAGGCGTGCTACTTCTCAGCATCTCGCAAGTGCGTTCAACACGCACCAGTTCGCGGCGGTGAGGCCGACGGTCCCTTTGGCAGTCCGCCTCGTCTTCTTCTTGGCCAGAGGCTTCATTGCACGCGGGCACGAAACCAAGGAAGGCACTTGCAAGAGGCCACGCTTCTCCATGCGGCAAGGAAACAAGGGTGGGCTGTCGACTGGGAATCCTGAACCCTAAACCAAAATCCCACAACTCAAGTCCCAAACTCTGAGCCCTAAACCCTAAACCCTAAACCCAAACCCCTAAAGCCACGACTTAGGCGGAACTCCCAGGCGAGCCTGTGGCTGCAAACCCTATGAACCCTCAACGACCACTGAGAGACCTTTGAGGGAAAAAGATCCATTATTTGCATTGAGGAAGAATCCCATTTGGGGTTTAGGGTTTAGGATTTAGGGTTTAGCGCGCTTCAGGCTGAAGTTTTGGATTCGGGCTAATCCCTGCAGACCCTGAATCCCCTGTACACCCGAACTAAAGTAAACAAAAACGTTACACCCTGTAAGACTAAACCTAGAACCCTGTAAGCCCTCAACCTTAAATGCTAAACCGTAAGGCGTAATTACACACGGTAAAGCTAATAAGCCCTAATTGGCCCTAACCCCTATCATGCTCAAACACCCGACTGTAATCCAGAACCTGAAGCCCTAAATCCTGGACGCGTCGCACACGTTTGCCCGCAGATTTGTGGGCAACGTGGGTCGTTGTAGGACATGTTGTGGTAGCATGTTAGTTGTGGTGTAGAGTAGCTTTGTAAGACAGAGTCGAAAAGAGTGGCAGGCGCGATGAATTTGAGCCCTGAAGAAAAGACACTTGGCAAGATCAAGTACATGTAGAACGTGTTGTAGCTGTATCGTCCATGTTCACATTGTTTCAAACTACGAACTTCGAAGTTGCTAGTTTGGAAACACGAATGCTTCGAGAAATGGGGCCCGCTGATGTTTGTGTATCTGCACTTTTTTGGCTGCAGCAATAGACTGTGAAGTAGTTTACACATGGTTCGGGCTACCGTTAGCAAGCAGACGCCTGACGTATAAAAGCGACCCCATGCAGGACTGCAGTTTATGCCCTGACAGGCGAGCTCACGTTTCAGCGTCTGGGTTTGGGGAGGATTGAGAGTTCAAACTTGAAACTTTGGGGCCTCTGTTTCAGGGATTCGGGTTGAAACATGTACTTAGAAACAGGACGTTCCCAACCTCCCCCCCCCCCACCCCCCCCCAACCCCACGAGTTGAAACTTGTAGTTAGAAACAGGACGTTCCCAACCCCCCCCCACCCCCCCACCCCCCCAACCCCACGGGTTGAAACAAGTAGTTAGAAACAGGACGTTCCCAACCCCCCCCCCCCCCCCCCCCAGCCCCCCCAACCCCAGCCCAAAACAACGGAGTAGAAGCAACAGTTGGAGTAGAACCAACTTCTCCCTGGGCAAACGTGTGCAACGCAGCCTACATCCTGACCCCCTGAACCTGAACCCGCCCCCTGAACCCCCCCAACCCCCCTCAACTACCCTGAATCCCCCTAATTAAACCCCTCTGAACCCCCCTAAACTTTCTGTTCCCCCCGAAAACCCCTGAACCCCTAAACCCGAAACCCTAAACCCTAAACCTTAACCCGAAAGCCCTGAGCTTGTCAGCTGCCAAGGTGCCAAAACCTCCGCCACCGCGACGATCCCCTTTGCCACCTCCTGACCGGCTGGGCCCACGCGCTTGGGGGTCTAGGGTTTAGGGCCTAGGGTTTAGGGATTATATTGGGTTTAGGGTTTAGGGCTTAGGGTCTAGAGTGCAAGTTTTTGGGTTTACGGTTTAGAGTTAGCGATTGGGGTTTTGGGGCTTGGCTTCAGGGCTTCTGAGGGGCTTTCTCTTTTTGGTACCCGACCGAAAGAACGAACAGTTGTAAAGCCACGAAATGGAGATGGAAGCCAAACTCCACAGGGGTTTAGGGTTGGGCGTTTGCTACACTCCCCTTAGAACCTTAATAAAAACACTATGTCTATTACTCCCTTGGGTTTAAATACATAAAAAACCAAAATAATTCCCTATAGTTTAGGGTTTATATATCCATAAAAGCCAAAATAATTTCTAAGGGGGATATAGTTCAGGGCGTAAGCCCCTAAAGGCCCTAAATCGCCTGTTCCCGGCTTGGTCATGAAGAACATCAGCGTGCCCCACTCTTCCTGCGCACAGGGGAAGGAAAAAAACCTTGGTCCAAGAGGCTTCGGAGCGTTTAGGGTTTAGGGTTTAGGGTTTAGGGTTTAGGGTTTAGGGTTTAGGGTTTAGGGTTTAGGGTTTAGGGTTTAGGGTTTAGGGGAACGACAGGACCCTTGCGAGGGTCCAAGCGGCTTCGGAGCGTTCAGGGCTTAGGGCTTAGGGTTTAGGGTTTCGGGGAAGGCTGGGGGAGGCTTAGGGGGTATTCCTGGGAACATTCAACAAAACGCGCGCGGGTTGAATTTTCTGAGGTATCCAAAAGATCCCTCAGACCACACAGCACACAAATTTAAGCCTCAAAACTGCAGCCCAAACTCTGCAGGGATACTAGGAGGCTCACAAGAGCCCTAAACCCACAAGCCCCTAAAGTCCCTTATCAGCAGCATTGCTTCAGCACGGGGGAGGGGGGGGGGGCGAGGAGGGGGCTTAGTAGACCCCTGTCAGGCTAACCCTAAATCCTAAACTCCCTAAACCCCCAAACCCTGAGTCCCAAACTCAACCTAAATCCCCCAAACTCTAAACCCTGAACCCTAAACCACCAAGCACCCAGGAACCCGCGAACAAAAAATTGGTCCCCCGAAAACACCTCGAACCCTAGAAAGAATGGAAGGGGAAGCCTGGAGACAGCCCAGCTGAACAGAAGACCCTACTTGGAGGGCGGGGGAACGTAGCAAGTAGGTGATACAGGGGCCTAATGATTCCAATAGGGCTTTGCGGGGTTGTTGGGGACCATAGGGGGAGAACTACTTTGAGTTACTATTCCGACCCCTATAGTATAGCGTAGGGCTGCAAGTACCCAGATTTGGGAGGTTATCCTGGGTTATCCTACTTAATGACCGCCTCCTGCCTCCCCGATCCTCCAAGTATACCGGTCTATAGCTCCGGTTGAGGGTTTGGGGTTGGGGGTTTAGGGTTTATTGTTAAGGGGTCCATGCCCAAAACCCCCACAAGCCCCACGACTGCCTCCATGCCGCCCAGGGCAGCACGGCGGCTGCCAGTGACGTAGCCGATGCAGTCGCTGGGAATGTCCAAGACCTGCTTTAAAGGGTTTAGGGTTTAGGGCTCAGGGTTGGGGGTTTAGGGTTTAGGGCTCAGGGTTTGGGTTTCGGGTTTAGGGCTTGGGGTTTAGGGTTTAGGATTTAGGTTTTAGGGTTTAGGGTTTTTCGAGAGCAAGGCACTGACGCGTAAGCCCTTGTTTAAGAGTTTAGGCTTCAAGTAAGGCTTAGGTCTATGGGCTGAATTAAGGTTTAGGACGTAGGGCTTTGAATTCTGGTTTGGGGCCCTGAGAGCTTCGGCTTTGAGCACGAAACCAGGGTTCAGGGCTTAGGGTTTAGTAAGCTACGGACGTCTGCGCTAAGGGCTCTCTGCGACTTCGGACAAGTTTCTTAAACCCTGAACCCTAAACCCTAAACCCTAAACCCTAAACCTTTAATTCCTAAACCCTAAACCAAAACCCTAAACCCTAAACCCGAAGTTGCGGGTGCTGTTGGGGGCTTTGTCTGGTCCTCTCCCCGCCTTTTTCAAACCTCATTAGCAAGATTCCTAGCTACGAGCCTCTGAAATTCCCTTGAAATCACGGGTTCCCCACTACCCCCCTCCATACTAACCCCCTTAGGTTCCCCCCATAATTATGGCTACTTAGGGATCATTAAGCTAAGCGGGAGCTGTAGGGGGGGGGGGGGGGTAGTAGCGAAACCCAGGATTGAACGTATGAAGCATCACAATGGCCCACCTGAGAAACCTCAGAATAACACGCACATCCAGCCACAAATCGTTAAACCTAAAGTACCATTTGCTTAAGAACCCCCACAGAATGAAAGTCCCTACATTGCCCTCATTAGGAGACTCTTTGTTTTCATCTTTTGAGGGGTTCTTAAGAAATTAATATACAAAGCCTAACCCCTGACTGCCAAACTGCAAAGCCTGATGTTGGTCGACGTTTCAATCGTCTCCTGAAGTGGCTATAGACCCTAAACCCTAGACCCTAGACCCTAAACCCTAAACCCTAAACCCTAAACCCTAAAGTAAGCACACTCAGATTCCCCACATCGGGATACCCTCGAAGCCTGACCTCTCAAACGCCTGTGCGCCGTGCCGGTCCTGTAGAAATAAGAGAACGGAAACAGGTGGGTAGTTGCTGTTCATATCCGCTGCATAAGTAAGCAATACAAGGTGTAGAGAAGCAACCCTAAACCCTAAACCCTAATCCCCAATAAGCCCTAGTAAACCCTAAACCCTAAACCCTAAACCCTAAACCCTAAACCCTAAACCCTAAACCCTAAACCCTAAACCCTAAACCCTAAACCGGTTGCTGGGCAAAGGGCCGTGATGTCGTCCCGCTCCTCCCAGCCCTCAACCCAAACAGGACCTGGGCTTGGCAGTCAGGGTTTAGGGTTTAGGGTTTAGGGTTTAGGGTTTAGGGTTTAGGGTTTAGGGTTTAGGGTTTAGGGTTTAGGGTTTAGGGTTTAGGGTTTGGGGTTTAGGGTTTAGGGATTAGGGTTAAGGGTTTCGGGTTTAGAGGTGAAGGGGGAAGCGGAGCTTGTTTGGGGGCTTCCGAAATAATAGGGGGGTGCCCTTTTCGGGCCTCTCTTCTTTTTTGAGTTCGGGTACCCTGTTTTCGGAAATCCCCATTCTTGGTAGGGTTTAGGGTTTAGGGTTTAGGCTTTAGGGTTTCGGGTTTGGGGTTTAGAGCCGTGGCCCCACAGCGCCGTGGGCTGAGCGCCTTATGCCATAAGCACCCGAGCCCCATGCAGGGTTAGGAAAAGGGTTGAGGGTTTAGGGTTTACGGGTTTAGGTGCTCAGGTTTAGCCCGAAAACCCTAAACCCTAAACCCTAAACCCTCGAATACAGAACCCCAGATTTCTCACCTCTGGAGCCACAAAACCTTAAAGCCCAAGCTCTACAGCCCACCGGAAACTCCCGAAGACCCTGACAACCCAAAACTCACAACCCTGAAACCTGAACCCTAAACACTCAAACCCGAAGCCCTAAACCCCAAACCCTGGCCCCAGAGCCCTAAACCCTCAACCCCGAAAACCCTGACAACCCTAAACCCTATACCCTGAACCCAGACCCCTAAACCCCTAAACCCCTAAACCCCTAAACCCCTAAACCCCTAAACCCCTAAACCCCTAAACCCCTAAACCCCTAAACCCCTAAACCCCTAAACCCCTAAACCCCTAAACCCCTAAACCCCTACACCCCTACACCCCTAAAACCTAAACCCTAAACCCTAAATCCTAAATCCTAAACCCTAAACCCTAAACCCTATACCCTGACTCTTAACCCTTAACCCTAAACCCCTAACCTCCAAACCCCAAAACCCTTAAACCCCAACACCCCTAGAATGAGGCTTTGAGGAGGTTAGGCTTTGGAGCGGGGGGTTAGGGTTTCAGGGTGTCAGGGGTTTTACGGTCTAGGGCTTTCGGTTGAGGGGTTTTGGGTTTTCGGGCCTCAACCCTAAACCCTGAACCCTGTACCCTGAACCCTAAACCCTAAACCATCCTACACCCTAAGCCCCAAACCCTAAAGCCCTAAACCCTAAACCGTAAACCCTAAACCCTAAACCCTAAACCCCTCAAGGTTTTGGGTTTTTTTGGGTTTGGGGGTTCTAGGGTTTAGGGGGGGGGTCACCCACCCCCAGATGCTGACCAGCCGCCCTCCAGCTGCTGGAAGAGCCACTTCATGTACTCCTAGGGAATGAGGGAGGGTTGGGGGTTTGGGGGGAATCAGGGTGCAGGGTGTAGGGTTTAGGGTTTAGGGTTTAGGGTTTAGGGTTTAGGGTTTAGGGTTTAGGGTGCAGGGTGTAGGGTTTAGGGTTTAGGGTTTAGGGTTTAGGGTTCAAGTACGTAGGCCAGTAGGCCGAAGCCAGCTTCACAGAGGGAGTTGGGGGTTAGGGGTTTTGGTGTTTTGTCTTAGGGTTTAGGGTTTAGGGTATAGGGTTTAGGGCTTAGGGTTTAGGGTTTAGGGTTTAGGGTTTTTGGGCTTTGGGTTTGCGGTTTCGGTTTCAGGGCTTGGGGTTCACCTTTCCATGTTCCCCCCGGCAACCTCGAACAACCCTAAACCCTAAACCCGAAACCCTAAACCCCTTTTTTTGGCCTCATGAGTGCGGACGAAATGGAAGCCTAACCACCCTCAACTCCAAGCCCGGGGCCCTGAACACTGCTGCACTGGGGAATCTAGGCTGCAGGCCGCCACACCCCGTAACCTTGAACCCTAAACCCTACTCGGAGGTTCATGGTACTTATAAACCAAATAGTAACTGCACATCTGACCCAATTATAACCACATTAGGGTAATTAAGGGGCTTGTACGTAGGTTATAAATACAGTTATTATTGGTAAGTAGCACGAACCTCCAAGTAAACCCTAAGCCCACAGCCCCGCCCCTAAGCCCTAAACCCTAAACCCTCAACCCTAAACCCTAAACCCTGAACCCTGAACCCTTAACCCTACACCCTGAACCCTAAACCCTGAACCCTAAACCCGTAAGCCCAAAACCTCCAAGTAAACCCCCACGCCCGGGACTAACACCCCCGGGTTGGGTCCTTCGCGCGGCGGCGCTCGTTCTTCGCCCCGGAGAACAGCGCCGTTTGGCCCACGTACTGCACCACCGCGCCTTCAAAGCACAAGTCGGGGCCTTAGGGTGTAGCTGGGGCTGAGGGTACCCTAAACCCTAAACCGTTTAGCCTAAACCCTAAACCCTAAACCCTAAACCCTAAACCCTAAACCCTAAACCCTAAACCCTAAACCCTAAACCCTGACTTTCGGCAAGCCCGGGTCCTCGCGCCGCAAGGAGCGCTACGTGTACAACACATGGGAAGACTCGCGAGATGCATGGGTCCTTCTTGGGGTACCCTATAAATGAAAAACATCAATAGAACATACATATAAATGTATGTATATGTTCTTCTTATGTATATACAGCATATACACCTGTATATATATATATGTATATGTGTATGTATATATACATACATACATACATACATACATACATACATACATACATATATATATATATATACATACATACATATATATATACATATATAGGGATCATTTCTCGAAAACATTGTCTCTTTCGGGGTCCTTACTTAAGGCGGCCCCGTTATTTAGAGTGCTCTAATTTAGAGAACGCTGACCATATGTCATATACAGCTCCGGATGGATCAGCAGAGGATCCCCGCAGAGGACCGTACTCTATAGAGAAGCTCCATAGACCGGCACAGAAAACCCTCCCTTGTCCTCCCACCATCGCTAGTTGATTAAACTCAACCCTGAACCCCCCTCATTCAAGCTCACCTTACGCACTGAACCCCAAAGCCTAAACTCTCTGCGGCCCCTTAAGCCCGAAACCCTGAACCCTTAGCCCTAAACCCTACACACCCACTGCAAGGCCTGATGAGCGCTCAAGCTTCTTCCGGGTCCCGCCCTGTTTGCCTCGGAGCTGCGTCTCGCATGCTTTGGTGTGTAGGGGGGGTGGGGGAATGTGGGGGGGAGGACTGCCAGTGCAAGGCTCCGACGTTTGCCCTATATACACTCACCCAAGACCATAATGAAAACACGAAACCCACATGAGCCACATGAGGGCTGTGATCTCAATCATGGGCACTTTTTTGGTGCCCTAACCTACATGCAAAGGCCGAGCAAGGGAGACCCACAAGGGTCCCATCAAGTAGACCAGCCCCCAAACCCTTGAACCCTATCCGACAACATCCGCTAATTCATACTATCCCTCCTAATATTAACACGCCCCATACTGCCCTGCCCCGCCCCCCCCCCCCGCCGCCCCCGCCACTACCATTATAGATTCACATCGTTGCAGCATCTTTCAGGTATCTTGTGGTATGGCCTAAACCCTGGCCCTAAACCCTAAACCCTAAACTCCTTAAACCTCAACCATAAACCCTAAACCCTAAACCCTAAACCCTGAACCCAAACACTAAACACAAAACCCCAAACCCTCAACACGCTGGGCTACCAAGGTCCGGGTTTTTTTCCTTGGTACCACTGGGCTACCAAGTGTAAGGCGCGTCTGGAGATCACCTTAACCTTATGCCCCTGAATAACTCCGAGATATACCTTCTACCCTAAACCCTAAATCCCTAAATCCCTAAACCCTAAACCCTAAACCCTAAACCCTATCTACCTAAGTAGCCCCTAAAGAACCCCTAAGTACCCCTAAGGTCCCTGATAAGGGTCCCTCCTTTACTCCCTTGAGCGGATTGTTTGGAGAATACCCTACACTCTAAACCCTAAACCCTAAACCCCAAACCCTAAACCCTAAACAGATTACATTCATCCCCGGGCGGCCCAAGGCGTAGGAGAGCTCGTCGTCCTGGCAGACGCAGGTTTGGGGGTTTAGGGTTTAGGGTTTAGGGTTTAGGGTTTAGGGTTTAGGGTTTAGGGTTTAGGGCTTATGGTTTAGGGTTTAGGATTTAGGGTTGAGGGTTTAGGGTTTGGGGTTTAGGGTTTGGGGTTTAGGGTTTAGGGTTGAGGGTTTAGGGTTTAGGGTTTCGGGTTTCTAAGGGTTGAGGCTAAGGACTTTAAGGGTTTAGGGTTTCAAGTGTCGTTCGGGTTCTGGGTTTTGAGATCCTGCTACCAAGCAAGAACCCCAAACAATCACCCAAACCCCAGACCCCACGCGCACCCCCCGCTGTCCCCTAGTAAACCCTAAACCCTATACACCCCAAAACCCTAAACCCTAAACCCTAAAGCCTAAGGGCTTCTAAGGCTACCTACCTTGTTGCGGCGAATTTAGGGCTTAGACGTTTTAAGCGTACTTGCGCGCCTGGAACTGCATGGTGTCGGTAGACCAAGTGCCAGTGTCCTCGGATACTGATCACTGCGCTGCATGCTGATCTAGACCCAAGAGTAACCTAGGAATAAAGAGGGCACCCTTTTTGGTTTAAAGGGGCGTCGAAGGGAACCCAAACCCTAAAGAAAGGAAATAAAGGCCTACTCTGGGCCCTACTGATTCCCACCCGCACGTGGCTGCAACCCCGTTGAGAACTCCGTGCCATGCAGAAGAGCCCCAAAAACCCAAACAGGAACAGCTCTAAACCCCAAATTAGGGTTTAGGGTTTAGGGTTTAGGGTTCAGGGTTCAGGGTTTAGGGTTTAGGGTTTAGGGTTTAGGGTTTTGGGATAAATCAATCATCGGAAACCCAACATCACCCCCGAACCCGAAAGCCACACAACCCCCCAACACCCCAGCCTGATTATCACCCTACTTGGAGCCAGCTAAATACCTAAACCCCAAACCCTAAACCCTAAAAGGCCCTAAACCTTAAACCCTAAACCCTGAACCCTAAACCCTAAACCCTAAACCCTGAAACCTAAACCCTAAACCCTAAACCCCAAACCCCCCAAAAGCCCCAGCCCCTAACGCTGATGGCGGCCCGGTGGCATCACGGTGGCGGTCGCGGTCAAGGACCTCATCCTTGATGCTAGCCTGAGAGGATCCCTTCTCATATCTGCCGCACCTTAAGCTGCTTAAGCCCTAAACCCTAAACCCGAAACCCTAAACCCTAAACCCTAAGCCCTAAACCCTAAACCCTAAACCCTAAACCCTCACAGGGGTTCAGGGTCTAGGGCTGTAGGGCTCAGGGCCTTGAGCTCTCCAGGCCTTGGGGCTTCGGCTTTAGGGCCCCTGAAAGGCTAAGAAGTCCTACGGAAGGCATCGGGATTTGGTTCTATTTTTTTAGGGTTTAGGGTTTAGGGTTTAGGGTTTAGGGTTTAGGGTTTAGGGTTTAGGGTTTAGGGTTTAGGGTTTAGGGTTTAGGGTTTTAGAAAGAAGCTTGCAACCCAAGCCTCCAAGCCCCCTGAACTCTGAACCCAGAAAAGCGAACATTGAAGCTTGAGTTTAGAGGTAGGATTTAGGGTTGAGGCTGGTTTAGGGTTTAGGGTTTAGGGCTTAGGGCTTAGGGTTTAGGGATTCGGGTTTAGGGCCGAGAGTTTGAGATACAAAGTCGCGTCCATTTGCAGCCCAAGTGGCAAAGTAGCCAGGGACCTCGCAGTGAATTTGGGAGGGTGCGATATGCTAGCATTCAGGGAGGGAGGGGTTTTAGGGAAGAGGGTTTACAAATTAGGGTTTAGGTTCAGGGTTTATGGTTTAGGGTTTTTGGTTTAGGGTTTTTGGTTTAGGGTTTAGGAAGGGAAGGGACCCTGTACTTCAATTACGCTACAGAACTCCCACAGGTGATAGGTGATGTCTGACATCTTCATATGATACGTAGCATTTCCAAGATAGCCAATACATTGACCTACCCCTACACCCTAAACCCTTAACCTTAGCCCAAGATATAATCCCTTGCACAAGGCGCCCTCCTGCAGTGCCTCGCCCATGGCTTAAGATGCTGTTCGCAGTAGGGTTTAAGAGCAGCCTACCCCCCCCCAACCCTAGAAACCCAAACCTGTAAGCCTAAAGCCTAAAGCCCGAAACCCCACATTGCAGCCTCTAAACCCTGAACCCTGAACCTACAACCCCTAAACCCCAAACCCCAAACCCCAGACCCTAAACCCTAAACCCTAACCCCTGCACCCCAGCTTGGGCCTTCGTCTCCACGGCGCTGAGCACCAGCAACTCCGCGCCGCGCCGCGCACGGATGCTGCCTTGGCCGGGGCTTCGCGTCCAAGACTCTAATAAATACCGGCCTAAACCCCAAACCCTTTCAACCCTAAAACCCTATAAACCCTAAAAACTAAAACCCTAGAACCCCTACCCTAACCCTATATACCCCAAAAGCGTTAACAACCCTGTCATCCCTATAAACCCTACGTACGTGAAACCCTACGAATGTGAAACCCTATGTGAAACCCTATAAACCTTACAAACCCGAAAAACCTTACAAACCCTATAAACCTTATAAACCCTGTAAACCCCAATGAACCCCACAAACCCTATAAACCCTGTGAGCCCTGTAAGCCTTACAAAAACAAAGCCTAGAATCTAGGGTAGTGCTTAGAGCTTTCGCGCTCTTAGGGAGTGGAGGCCCGGCTTAGGAGGCAAGAAAGGGCTTAAGAGTTCAGGGTTTGGGGCTTGGAATTTTGGGGTTTAGGGTTTGGGGTTTTTGGGGTTTGGGGTTTAAGGTCTTGGGGGCTTGGGACTTAGGGTTTAGGGGCCCACATGCAACACCCTGTTCAAAGAATCTCCTGCCAAAAACACCAAGTTAGTTGAAGTGTAGACTTGAAGGTCTCTTTTCTTCTCTTTTCTGTTCATTTATTTTCTTTTCTTTTGTTTCTGTTCTTTTCTTTATTTTCTTTTCTTGTCTTTGCTTTTCTTTTCTTTTTTTTTTTCTGTCTTTTTGCGTGTTTTTCATTTTTTTTTGGGGGGGGGGGGGGGGTGGGGGGGTGTGGTCCCCAGTTTAGGGTTCGGGGTGTAGGGTTGTTCTTAGAACGCCATTTAAGGATCCAATTGATGTGGCCCCTTACCACGAAGCAACAAAACGTCCGGCAGAATTTCCAAATGCGAGCAGTTCGGGAAACTTCGGGGTATGGGCCCTATACCCTAAACCCTAAAGCCCTAAAGCTCTAAGCCCTATAAGCCCTAAACCCTAACCCCCCCCCCCCACCCCAAACCAACAAACCGAAGAATCCTCTGACGCCGCGGCCAAAAATTGCCAGCTTCTCGAAAGCCTTGTCGCGCCCTGCAACAGCAAGGAGGTTGGGACAAAGTGATGGCTCTGGATGTCGTGCTTTCCTGTATTTCGGCTACAGTATCCTGCGTTGGTAAACTAACAAACCAAGTTGTAAGTAAGCGGAGGAAGGAGTTAGGGGTCAGGGTTTAGGGAGCAAGGGCTGCAGTTCGTAGTTACCCCTTACTGCAAAGTATCCAACCAAGTCGTAGGTAAACAGTGGAAGGAGTTAAGGGGGGGGGGGGGGGGGGGGCCTAAACCCTAAACCCTAAACCCTAAACCCTAAACCCTAAACCCTAAACCCTAAACCTAGGGAGCAAGGGCAAAGAGTCGAGCCCTCGAAGCACGATGAAGCCTCGAACTCACACCATCAGCGCCCGCGCCTTCATCAACACCGCACGGCTTGAGCCATCGAATTAAAGCCTATATCGAAATCCTAGACCCCAAATCCTCTATTCAAACCCTACACCCTAAACCCTCTAGTGAAACCCTAAACCCCAGAAGCCCCCCAAACCCTAAGCCTCTCCGTGAAGTCTCGGCCCACTGCTTCGCGCTTCAGAAGCTAGAGCTACCCTTCGCGGAAAATTGAAACCTAGGGTTTAGGGTTTAGGGTTTAGGGCTAGGGTTTCGGGTTTAGGGTTTAGGGTTTAGGGTTTAGGGTTTAGGGTTTAGGGTTTAGGGTTTAGGGTTTAGGGTTTAGGGTTTAGGGTTTGGGGGTTATAGGGATTCTAGGGGTTATAGGGATTCTAGTACCCCCCTTCCTATATACTTATATACTGTCCCTAGTTTAGAGAACTACCCAAAATTGCTTGAAACCACGGAGCTTTAGGGTTTAGGAGTTTGGAGTTTAGGGTTTAGGGTTTAGGGTTTAGGGTTTAGGGCTACTGTGGTGTTCCAAGTTGTGTGTTCGACTTGGGGCTTGTGCGTTCTGCTTCGAACCCGTGCTTGCCTAGAGCTCCGCCTTTTAGGCTCTTCCTGTGACTCCCAAACCCTACAACTTAGTAGGCTAAGACCAGGGTTTAGGGTTTAGGGTTTAGGGTTATAACCCTAAAGCCTAAAGCCCTAAACCCAACAAATGGTGGGTCTAAGCCCAAGAAATAGTGGGTTTAAATGGAGCCGGGTTTGGCCCCCGCGACGGCCTCGTCCCTTGTCCACCTCACAGAAGAACATCAGGGTGGTCCACTGGTCCTGCGAGCCAAGGCGAGGCGAAACCCTATAAACCCTCAACCCTAAACGCTTAACCCTAAACCCCTAAACCCTCAACCCTCAACCCTAAACCCTTAACCCTGAACCCTAGCTGCGGTTGAGCATTCTAGCCCCCGAATCCGCGCACTCTCGGTACAACATCTCGGCCCTGGAAGCCTCAAGGCCACAAGCCATGTGCGACTGACGGTTTCAACAAACTAGGGTTCGGGGTTTAGGAAAACCCCAAACCCTAAACCCAAAACCCCAAAGCCCCAAACTCTCAACCTCAAACCCTCAAACCCCACATGTCTCCCCTCCCAGCAACACCTAAACCGTGAGACCCGGAACCCGAAACCCTGAGCCACCCTAAACCCTAAACCCTAAACCCTAAACCCTATAACCCTAAACCCTAAACCCTAAACCCTATAGACTCCCCAAGGACCGGTGCGCCTCGATGCTGCGGAGGAAGTTTCCTGCGCGGCCCGTGACGAAACCCACGGCCTCCTGGGGAACCTGCAAAGTTCGTTGGTTTGTTTGAAGGCCTTTGGGAGGGGGGTTTAGTAGGGGGGTTTAGGGGGTTTGGGGGGTTTGGGGGCTTTTGGGGGGTTTGGGGAGGTTTTGTGAGGGTTTTGTGGGGGGTTTTGGGTGGGTTTTGGGGAGTTTTTGCGGGGGTTTGGGGGTTTGCGGGACTTGGGGGTTTAGGAGTGTCTTTCTCTGTTTGATGAGGGTTCAGGGGTTTGCCGTGTAGACGCTTACGGGAGTCCAGGGCCCCAAGTGGGTTCAGGGGTTCGGGGTTTGCGCGTGTAGTGCTTCCCAGAGTTCAAGGATCTTGTGCTTCAGGCATCTAGGGTTTAGGGTTTAGGGTTTAGGGTTTACGGTTTAGGGTTTAGGGCTTAGGGCTTAGGGTTTAGTGTTTAGGGGTTTAGGGGTTAGGGTTTAGGGTTTAGGGTTTAGGGTTTAGGGTTTAGGGTTTAGGGCCTAGAGTTTAGGATCTCGCACTTCAGGTTGGATTGGCTTGAAAAAGCTCAAGCGGACGCGCGCTGGCTTCCGAAGTTCGCGTGCGCTTCGAAGCTGGCGGATGCCGCGGGTGCTTCTGGTGGCTGTTGCTTAGCATCTGCCCAGTACCTAAAGCGAAAAACTATCTTAGTAGCCCAGTAACCATATTCTAATAAGGGTACCCTTTTTTTGGTTGGTTGCTATATAAGGGAACCCAGAACCCAAAAAAAGGGTAAGGAGGGAGTGCGACATTGTCTGGCGTGCTCGTGTGAAGTATGGCCCGACCGCTTGCTGAAACGCTTACAATACAGGTACCTAGCAGCCAGATTATTAAGGCCCTTGTCCTTTGAGTAAGGGTGCAGAAGCCTTCGAACCCAGGCCCCAAGCCCACACAAAGATGTAAACTTCAAACCCTAAACCCTAAACCCTAAACCCTAAACCCTAAACCCTAAACCCTAAACCCAGCAAACCCCCATTTGAACAAAGGTTGGAGGGCTGGCCTGCAACAGGGTCAAGTCTTTGTCGTCGTAGTCGTCCGTGACGGACACGGGTCCGGTGCCTCACGTGGCCACCCGAAGTGAACCCTAGGCCCTACAGGGTGGGGCCCCCTAGTTATAAGTAGAGTTATAAGGGCCCTAAATTGGGTTATAAGGACCCTAAGTTAGGTTATAAGTCCCTTAACTACAGTTAGTATAGTAAGGGAGCCCCACCCTGTAGACCGAGAGGGCTCAGGGTCGAGGGACTTAAATAGGGGTTGGAGTAATTACTAATAGTGTTACCTTATAATCCCATGATGTTTATACTAAAATAGGCCCCCGAAACCCTAAACCCTAAACCCTAAACCCTAAACCCTAAACTCCCTAAACCCTAAACCCTATTGTAATTATTAAGGTCCTTAGATTCAGCCTCTTGAGGCAGACATGGGCCTTGAGGCAAGGCGCCCCACCAGTCGCAATGTTTCGACAGTCTGGTGTGCTCTACTGCGGCAGGGTTGAGGGTTTAGGGTTTAGGGTTTAGGGTTTAGGGTTTAGGGTTTAGGGTTTAGGGTTTAGGGTGAAGGAGTCCAGCAGAACTGAACTGAAAAACCAGTCAACGCCTGACACTCCAAAACCTAACCCCCGAACCCTAAACCCTAAACCATACCTTGCACCCACGACCAGCCGATCTGAAGGAAGAGATTCGGGGTTCCTGAACCCTGGACCCTGAACCCTAAACTGCGTACTTCAGAGTTCAGGGTTCAGGGCAACCCTAAAACCGAAACCCAGACCGACAGGGTTTCGGGTTTAGAGTTTAGGGCAAAGTTTAGGGTTGAGGGTCGAGGGTTCAGAGACGTTCAAGCCGGCAGAAAAAGCTCATCAGCCATCTCCCCCCCGCCCTCCCCGCCCCGCATCCGACAAAAGCCTCAATCCAGGGAAAGCCGAAACGCGACTGGAAACCCTAAACCCTACACCTGAGCCATGGCACGCTGGGCCATGACGCCCTCGCAGTACTTCTTGGCCCTCTTGCGCCTCGTTGCTTGCGGGATTTCGGTAAGAAAAATGAGGGAAGTATAGTAGGTGCCCTATAGAATCCCTTAGAGGGTATATCTTGGGGGAGATAAGGTACCTATTTCCCTCATTCCATACTAGTTCGGATTTCAGGGGTTTAGTAAGGGTTTCAGGGTTTTAGGGCTTCAGGGTAAATGCCCTTGAACACCACTGAACCCTTCGAATCAAGGCTCCCCTTGCTCGCTCAGGTGCACATCTTCGCTTTCCTGCTCGTGAGTACGTCCATGTTGCTAGTGCATGCGAATGCCCAGAGCAGCCATGCCAGTATGTCCATGTTACCAGTGCTGCGAATGGCCAGAGTATCCATACCCGCACGAAGACTACGTCCACATTACCAGTAAGCAGCACGTCCATGAAGCCGCGCATTCGTCACATGGCACTTGAGTCCACATAGTTGGCCCTGGAAACTGGTCACCAAATCGTGACCCAATCTTGCTTGCTGGATGTGACCTCTGGGGTTGATCAAAAGGCACGATTTCGCTGCGCCTGCCATACTTCCCTACAGTCCCGTGACCCCGTTCTACAGTCCCCTGACCCCGTTCTCTCACACGTTGTAGTTAGGGGGTGTGTTTTGTATCGCGCCGCGCTCCTAGATCAACCCTGCACCCCCCCCCCCCTTTTTCCCCTTTCAACCCTCAAGCCCATCAAAAAAACACGAAACCCGCAAACCCACAGGCCCTGAACCCCGAAATCCCGAAACCCCTATGGACCCCTAAACCCCTAAACCCCTACACCCAATTTCTGTCGCCGGGCTGCTGGAGCTTGCTGCCACGGATCTCCAAAATTAGGTCGCGCTCGAAGAGCTCGATCTCGGCCTCTTGTGCCCCAGGCCCGAGACATGAATCCAGAGGTTTGTTAGGGTTTAGGGTTTAGTGAAGGGTTTGGGGTAAAGGGTTTAGGGTACAGGGTTTATGGTCAGGACTTGGGGCTTAGGGTTTAGGCTTTCGGGTTTAGACTCCAGCGACCTTCACTCTTGGGGGGGGGGGGGGGTTAGTGTGGGGATGTGTAGTAGAGGGCTCGAAGACTGAAGGGCTTTTGGGTCAAAGGGCAGGTTAACTGATGAGCTAAGTGGGCATAAGTTGGGATGCTCCACACATACGAACAGTCCTTAATGGGGATTATAACAGAGTATGACGGGGAACATCCCAAGAAAAGAGGGCATAGGGTTCCCTTTGGGCAATATGTGGGTCAGTTGCGCTCGGAGGCATCCGGCAGTTTACCCTAAACTCCCACAACCTAAACCAACCGAGCCTCTTGACAAAGCCCTGAAGCCCCAAAGGCCCGAAAGCCTAGATGACGAAAGAACAAAGCTGAACCGCCTAACGCTGCAAACCTAAACCCTGAACCCTAAAACCCTGAACCCTAAGCCGCAACCCTGAATCCCTGAGCGCGGAGCCCACACCCTAGAAGGCTAAACCCATAAAAAAAGGATGTTCCCCCTTTATACGGGAACATAGTACCCCCATTATTCTCCCTGTTAAGGAATATTAGTAAAAGGGGATCCCAACATAAACCCCTAAAGCCCACAAAGCCCTCAAGCGATACACCCTAAACCCTAAACCCTCATTGCAAGCCCGAAGCCCCTAAAACCTACCACCCTTACCAACCCTACAAACAACCAGCCAAAACCATGGCTATGAAAATCAGGGGCTTAGGGTTTGGGGTTTCGGGTTTAGGGGGACTACGACTTAAATTATACAAACAGCTGCCAATCTGCTGTGGTCTTGGGGTTT